ACATTTTTTAATATGTTCGTATTACTGATTTTACCTTTTTTTTTCGTTGTGTTTTCTTGCTGTAGTTTCTTCCCATGATTACTGTTTAGTGTTTTATTTGTTTAATTATAGTTATATTTAGCAACAGTACTTTGACAATGTCCAAAGACTGATGCAAATTCATTTTATTCTACTTTAGATACTGAAGATGGAATCTGATAGAATTCCAAAACGTTTATCCATGTCCCCTTTTTGTCAATAAACAATGTTGCATATCATAAGTGTCGTAATTTTTTTATTATCAAGTTTGTTTATTCGTAGTTAAGCACAAAGTTATACAATGGGCTGATAGGGCAAGCATGATCGCGGATGACATTAGAACCCATGACCCTCAGATAGTGAGTAGAGTGCCCTAACCATTAGGTCATGTTAAGCCGGAACGACAGTGTTAATCCCAATTGGTTTTAAGCATAATACCTAACTTCAGTGTCTTAATATGTATAATACAATAAAAAGATAAGAAGCACCAAGTTTCCTTAGTTAAGGCATTATAGATTTTTTTCTCATAAACTTTAGTTAATAATATTCCTCTTAATAATATTTTAAATAATATCAGTTATTTTCAGAATACAAGAGTTAATTTGGGTTAATTTGCTTAGTTTATATTATTATATATTATGTAATTGATACTATATTGGGGCATGTTTGTTTGTTCTGTTGTTATAGTGTTGAGAAGCATTAGCAATCCTGATCGCCACTTCTTTATATTGAAAGAACGGTCCATTCTGTTTACATTGGGATTTTGGTGTAAAAAATATATTTATACATAATAATAAATAATTATTATTTTCAAGTGAAAATTAATTGGTGAAACTTTTTTTGAGCTTCACTTCTCTACTCAACGCCGGTATCGAAACAGATATTTAGCATTATAAACCCTCAGACTTACCGCTTAGCCACAGACTGCGCACTTACAAACGTGCTCTGACAGGCCTCCATAATTGGAAGGAGACAGCCTGTGTTTTGGCTTATGTTAAAAAGATCTCTAGCTCGTAACCATAACAACAGAGGAAGCAATCCTACGGCTGAGATGTTAACTGATACAAAGATGTCGATTATTTATTTCATCACACAACACAAAATTGTTATAACTTCAAAATAAACGATAACAACAACATCATAATTACTCGTGTTGTTTATCTTACCAAAATTATATTACGATAGTGGATTGGGTTGGATTGGGTGGATTGGGTTCTAGCGAACACCGAAAAGTAGGAGAAATAGAAATGCATTTCT